CGAAATAAGCCTGATCAGCTTTATACAAATAGGACAGTTCCTCGTCACAATCTTCTGAGTGGAGGAAGTACCTCTGTACAGCCCACGGGCACCTGTGTTTTCGTTGGCGGTGTATCGTGTCAGGTTCCACTATACAGGTAGTTGTGTCTCGTGAGGAGGTATGAAGTTCTCTGGGAATTATTCGACAAAGAGTGAAAATCTAGCGTATTCTTCTGGTAAAAAGAGGTAAGAGGATGGCTTTAACATATAATAACTCCGGGGTTATTGTCTCCACTGGTCTTTCAGAGTTGTTTTTTTTGTATTATTGAAAAAGCTCGAAAATCGGCAATAAGTTGTAATGCTACTTTTGAAATGCCGCATTTCATATTAAGGATGTAGGTTTGATAAAAACTTTAATTAACCCCATCTTTATTACAAATTTGTGCCAAATTAGTTTGATAATATCATCGAAATCACTTGGTTGTGCACTCCACATTTTGATAAGGTAAAGAAAAGATTGTGAAATTCATCGCCTACGATTTGTTACAAAGTTTAGTAAAAAGAAATCTTCTTTCAATAGGTTTTGCAAATAATAAAATAAATAAACAATATCTTGCACTAATCTTCTTTTGGTCCTACTTAAGCTATCCTTAGGTCTAATTTATTTACATCATGTATGTTATGTTGTGCCGAAATCTTTCAATTTCGTCATTTTTATTATATGAATTTAAAATAGTCTTATTTTTTATTTTGTATATACACGTGCATGCATGCCAAGCGTGAGACACTTGTATTGTGTGATGCTCAGAAGTTCCTGTAGTAAGTCAATTTTACTCTAACAACTGATTTTGTGTCAAGTGTCAAGTCGTGTTATCATTTCCTATCTGTTGCAATCGTATCACACAAGGTACAAATGTAACCTAGAGTATAGTGTACATATTGACATGTATGTTCTTGGACTCTGGAGCAGACGGCATAAAACAATATTGATACGAGTTATCATTGAGTCTGGCCAATTTTTTATTTTATTTTTTTTTATTTTGTGTTTGTCATGAATAACCAGGAAGGTATTTTTTCACGAAGTGTTTTAAATTTTTTCAATTCCTATTTTAGGGATTAAAGTTGAAATCTGATTCTAACCCATATAATTGATTAGGATCAGCTGTCATTGTCAGATGTTTTACAGAAATATGTTACTTTTAAGAATCAATTCTACTGTAATCTTTATCGATATCTGTTGCACTATACCACAAATAAGAACGAGAGTTGAATGAGAACAGGAGAACGAGGTTTGAATGAGATTAGAACGAGGTTTGAGTGAGAACAAAACGAGAGTTGAATGAGAACAGAACGAGAGTTGAGTGAGAACAGAACGAGAGTTGAATGAGAACAGAACGAGGGTTGAGTGAGAACAGAACGAGAGTTGAGTGAGAACAGAACGAGAGTTGAGTGAGAACAGAACGAGGGTTGAGTGAGAACAGAACGAGAGTTGAGTAAGAACAGAACGAGAGTTGGGTGAGAACAGAACGAGAGTTGAGTGAGAACAGAACGAGAGTTAACATTCGAAAACATTGCTGCTTTAATCAGATCATTAACACAAACAATTGTTAACCCCTTCACCTTTCCATTATTCATATTTCACATGTTGGAAATTAAGAAATAGTAGCCTTAGTGATGTATTTGAAAAATTAAGGGATTTTTTTTTTTTTTATATTATTGATAATCTTGATACCAAAATGGGGTTTGGCGTCCTGCGTATGATCGTAATTCACACTCGACAGCTTTTCTTTGACATTTACTTTTTACAAAATTCTTTTAGAAGATGGTGTAATGCTGGGTAGTTAACAGATGATACTAACAATGTATTTTGTATATTATGCGGTGTAATAAAACACGAAGAACTGGTTTATGTATATCGAGTGTTATATATAACGTTTACTGTACACAAATACACCTGGACGCTTAAAACATCGCCTACAAGTTTACACAGAGGCACATTTAGACTGCTTTGTTTGTATCCAATGTATGCTATAGTATCAGGAAACATGCTGTAGTTTACCGTTACATAGACTACAGCTCACGGTCTACCGAACCATGAACAGATCTGGAATGCAGCACTTTCCCCCCGTTTTATTTCCTCATGGGAGTACCTGCATGTTTGCGATAATTAGGCTTTTGTTTCACACGGTATCTATATGAACTGTTTTACTGTCACCTCTCAATCATGCACTGTTTTACGGCCATGTAGCAGGTAAGTGGCTCCAGCGTGCTGTGTTAGCTCAGACTCTAACGATCCGTTACTGTGACATGCCTGCATCCGGAACCCTGACGCGGCCCGGCCAGCTTCAAACACATGTGCATATGAAGAGAGAAAAAAAGCTTTTTGTTGCAAACTTTATTTCAAAATCCTATTACATTACTTATATTGTGACATGAAAATAAGTTAAATAACTTATCATTTTGAAAATCTCACACCGAATCAGAATATGAGACTTTGTACAGGATACTAAAGTTGTATTTTACAATGTTGTATGAGAATAATTGGAAATACAAGATCTATATTTACTTATGTCGGTAATGGACGTTATGTATCTATATGTATCGACGACAGAAGGTAGATATGCTTTGTCTGTCGACGATAGACGGTAGATATATATGTTAATCTGTTAAATATAAAAGGTAGATATCTATGTCGGTGATAAAAGGTAGATATTTACTATGTTGGTATGGAAGGTAGATGTTTATTTTACTCGAAGATGAAAGCTTGCATTAGTTTGTGTATGTGATGGGAGGCAGATATTCATTTTTTGTTGGTTATAGAAGGAATACATTAACTTCTGTCAGTGATAACCAAGATATGTGTATTGCTATTGGAGGCACTCCATATATAAGTGTGTATACGTATGAAGAGGCTCTGTAACAAACGGCTATTATATGTAGCAGTAATTCAATGCTTCTTTCAACCAGATACAAATCTCTTCACAGCGCAATAATAATAATAATAATAATAATATACAGCATGTATATAGCGCCCTATATAATTTGTAAAATTACTCTAAGGCGCTTTACAACATATGGATAATAGTAATGGTTATAATTGTGAAAACAAACAACAAAGGCTTGCAATCACTTTCAAACATTTAACAAGCAATGTGCACATAATTGAACAAATAAAAGGGTGGTATTTACATGACGTCTTTGCACAGATTCTAAAAAATAATAAGGATACTATTATAATAAAAATTGCTTCGAAAAAATCTCTACTGCTTCTGGGTTAAAAGATGACGGCAATTAAAAAATACACTCGCATACATTCAAGTACAGTGCAGCTTAAAAAGTAACATTACAATTCCTCTTTTTCCACGTTTTCTTTTACTCCGGTGGGGTAAAATCGTCGTCTGAATCAGTGCAAGTATGTCTTACATGTTTATTTTGCACCGAGATGATATCCTCCTGAGTGTCTTTGTCACTGTGTAGCTTTATGGTATAGGATAAAATTATCGTCTAAGGAGGCGACTAATGTCACTGTGTAGCTTTATGGTATAGGATAAAATGATCGTCTAAGGAGGCGACTAATGTCACTGTGTAGCTTTATGGTATAGGATAAAATTATCGTCTAAGGAGGCGACTAATGTCACTGTGTAGCTTTATGGTATAGGATAAAATTATCGTCTAAGGAGGCGACTAATGTCACTGTGTAGCTTTATGGTATAGGATAAAATTATCGTCTAAGGAGGCGACTAATGTCACTGTGTAGCTTTATGGTATAGGATAAAATTATCGTCTAAGGAGGCGACTAATGTCACTGTGTAGCTTTATGGTATAGGATAAAATTATCGTCTAAGGAGGCGACTAATGTCACTGTGTAGCTTTATGGTATAGGATAAAATTATCGTCTAAGGAGGCGACTAATGTCACTGTGTAGCTTTATGGTATAGGATAAAATTATCGTCTAAGGAGGCGACTAATGTCACTGTGTAGCTTTATGGTATAGGATAAAATTATCGTCTAAGGAGGCGACTAATGTCACTGTGTAGCTTTATGGTATAGGATAAAATTATCGTCTAAGGAGGCGACTAATGTCACTGTGTAGCTTTATGGTATAGGATAAAATTATCGTCTAAGGAGGCGACTAATGTCACTGTGTAGCTTTATGGTATAGGATAAAATTATCGTCTAAGGAGGCGACTAATGTCACTGTGTAGCTTTATGGTATAGGATAAAATTATCGTCTAAGGAGGCGACTAATGTCACTGTGTAGCTTTATGGTATAGGATAAAATTATCGTCTAAGGAGGCGACTAATGTCACTGTGTAGCTTTATGGTATAGGATAAAATTATCGTCTAAGGAGGCGACTAATGTCACTGTGTAGCTTTATGGTATAGGATAAAATTATCGTCTAAGGAGGCGACTAATGTCACTGTGTAGCTTTATGGTATAGGATAAAATTATCGTCTAAGGAGGCGACTAATGTCACTGTGTAGCTTTATGGTATAGGATAAAATTATCGTCTAAGGAGGCGACTAATGTCACTGTGTAGCTTTATGGTATAGGATAAAATTATCGTCTAAGGAGGCGACTAATGTCACTGTGTAGCTTTATGGTATAGGATAAAATTATCGTCTAAGGAGGCGACTAATAAAGAAAGCCTCTGCAGAAATTGGAATTTGCTTTTGTGCCCTCTTCTTGGGGATACAAACATATGTTTTGTTGTCAACATTGTTTTTATCTAAATAGGTCCTCGTCTGTATCTATTATACTGGGATTCAATCCTCGTCCATATCTGTATTTTACCTAGATGACATCCTTGTCTGTATCGTTATCCTTGTGTTACACACGGTTTTATTATACTGGGATTCAATCCTCGTCCATATCTGTATTTTACCTAGATGACATCCTTGTCTGTATCGTTGTCCTTGTGTTATACACGGTTTTATTATACTGGGATGCAATCCTCGTCCATATCTGTATTTTACCTAGATGACATCCCCGTCTGTATCGTTATCTTTGTCTTCCACAGGAGGACGCTGGTTTGGTGGTTGGTCCTCGGTATCCTCGCTGGTGTCGTCGCCGTCGTCTACGTCACGAGTGTCTCGTCCTTTCACGCAATCATCGACCGGACCAACTCAAGCTATGATTTCGTAATTGGTAGGTAGTAGAGTTATCACTATGCCTTTCATAACGGTTTCCACTTCCGTTATATTTCTACAAAATACAATAAAACATGTTAGCATACTCAATAAGAAAAAATCTTAAATATTTTAAGATGTCATTACATTTCAACCATTTTTAATAAAATATACGCCATCAGGACTCACAAATTTATATCATTGATGATCAGACACAACCTTATCCGAGCGCTTGTTGACAAAGCTCAGCTGTTTCCTGGATAGGTATTAAACAGACTGTTAAATATATTTACGGAACATGTTGAACGTGGGGTTATTATCTCCGATTGCAAACTTAATGGATACAAATATGTTAAACGTGTGAAACCCTTAACACTACTTAATGCACTAAACTTTCTATGTCAATATTTGTTATTTGAAATATCTCAAAAAGTGCAAGAAGCTTTCAGTTTAAAAAGTGAAAATCAAGCAAGATATATGTATTTGAAAACAGAATAAACAGTATAACTAAAACAAATATGATTTAAAAATAATATGGTTGAGGCATGCTTAATAAAATGTTTTTATTAGACATGGACTTTTAAATAAAACGTTTAAAACGAAAATAACCTTTCTCGTTTAGATTTTTTTTAACTTGAAAATCTAAGCATGGTATTATCATGTGTTTAGTGATAAACAGTGGAATTTTTGTATCAACATTCGTATATCGCAGCCTCCCAAAACACACTCACATTCACTACACGCATGCATCTTGCACACATGGGAGGCCGTCCTTAAATGACCATAGCTATTGATAGGACGTTAAACAATACTAAATAAAACAAAACCAAGTATCAACATTCGGTATATTTAGAAGGAAGTTCGTCTCAAATACAGCTTTTAGCCATTTGGCTAGACGCAAGAACGAAATACACTCAAAAACAAATAAGGGTGTCCGATCTCTCCATGGTTCAATTGCAGAGATAACTATCCTGGCCACCTGGTTTGTGTTTTAGATACTGAGGCAAGTTCATCTCACGAAAATAGCCACTGGGTATTAGGAATAATTATAGGCCAATCGTCGGCTAAGTAAGATACACTAGGTGTCCCGGCAAAAGTTACATTAATATTGTATTATGTTAACGAGTTAAACAGTTGACTGAAGAAAGATGACATTTGTCATTTCCGTAAATAAATGTGTTTGCTATAAAAATCACAATCAATCAGGTAGATAAATCCAGAAAATCACAAACTACATTATGGTGATGGGTACTAATGTAATGAACAAGAAACATCGGTTATACCACCATACAGACGTGAGTGTGTAAATATCTATATTACAGGTATTTGGATGATCAGTACGGTTATCGATCAGTAACTATTAATATCTCTATTACTACCATAATTATTCAATCTTACTTTGATTATAATTCGTACCATTGAATTGCATGGAATACACACGATAGACTGCTTATCATTATTATTATTGTTTGATTATTTACGGCCCATCAGCACATAAGAGGTCATTAGGGCCAATTAAAGTAGTTAACCATGTTAAAGAAATAAACATCAAACGAACGAACAGGTAAAGACAAACGTTAATTTCAAAAATGGTTAAAGTGGCTATGATTTTGTTATATCTTTGTGAACAGACCAACAGATTTAGGTAGGTTTGAATTGTAGAGATACTTATTGTTTCGAGAAGTGATTTGAGATCTGTTATATTTTCATAAACATGTTCTCTTATTGGCTGAAGGTAAACGCAATCTAACGACAAGTGTTTTACTGTAAATGGTTCGTGACATGCTATGTATTGAGGCTGGTCTTTGCTTCTCAATGAACAATCCGGAGACGGGCAAGGACAACTTCGTTTCGGCTGTTTTCTCTATAGCTTGGATACCATTCACCTATTTTCGGTTTTACACAGTGTAATTTGTGGCTGCTTATTAAACCGTTTTGCTAAATGATTTATATGCATACTCGGTCCAATGTTTGGGCTGTCAATCTGCGCTGTTAAATAGTCCATTGATTGTTTATTAATTGGAGCTCAAATTGTCTTATCGTAAGGTGTGTGTTGCTGTCGATTGTATGGTCTACATATATAACATTCATTCACTTATGTATAAGTAAACCAGGAATAGAACGGTACATACATTTAATTCAAAGAGATGGGATCTAAACTAGAAGACGTTACAATAAAAAATAGGAAACTAAGAGACACAAAAACAAAAGTAAAGACACGTTGAACCAAAACAATGACAAGGTGCACCGGAAGGATAAACCTTTCCTGTGCCACAAGTGGTGCCGTTTATGACGGGGGACATGACTCTCTACATAGCATATTTAGAAATGTTTTAGGTGAAACAAGGAATTATTAATTTGTCATCCAGAACTTAAACCTGATATCCCAACTCATCTCTAGAACCCGAAATGTAAATATCACAGACTCTTTGTAAGTCTTGTAATACAGTATCACAATCCTGATCACCTCATTTCCGTTCTAAGATATATCTATAGGTGAATTTATACGTCAACTATTTACGGGGTTAGACGTCGATTTGCTACTCCAAAGTCTGTTCAATATACTGGTATCAGGATTTTCAGGTTAGATACGTTTTGATGACCGATTAACTACGTAGTCAGGGTTTTCTACCAACGATTCTGCAATCTACGTTGCTTAAATCATGATATCTGCTCTGTCTAAAACTTGTTTGTACCGTCGTAGCTCGTAGGCATACCGTAGTAGTTTCCCTGGTTTGACGGAAAACTTACACGAAATATATACATGTTCAGGGCATAGAGCATAACCTTCCTTTAGTTTGGCCATGAGACGAGTTTCATTGATATTGCCCCTGGTTTTGTTACTGTTGTTTTTGTAAGGTTCCTAATGTTTATTTTGGTTTGAGGTCTCGTCAGTTTTTGTTCTGTTGTAGCGAATTTGAGTTCGAATTTGTCGTTTTGTGCTTTTATATTGTAACTACAGCATGAACTGTGATTTCCCGAAACATGTTCAATTTCTACAAAAAGCTTTTATAATGAAACCAAACCTATTTGATTAATTGAACATTTAAGTCAACTTATGCAGGTCAATATTCTTTTTCAAACAGAACATTACTTTCACGAGATGCTTTTGAGTAAATTAGTTGATAGGCACATGCTATTCCCCATTGTCTCGTGTGTTTCAGTGGGTGCCGGTACAGCCGGGTCAGTCTTGGCCAGTCGTCTTACAGAGGACAGCGATGTTAAGGTTTTACTTCTGGAGGCTGGAGGCGAGGAGACACGTGACCCAAATCTGCACGTGCCGCTACTGTCTTCTCTACAGAAGAACCCGGATTTTGAGTGGATGTATTACACAGTGCCACAGAAATATGCTGCTATGGGGATGAACGACAGGGTGATTATTATTTGATTAACTGTAATAAATGTTTAACAACATATCGCAGTTTTAACTCCCGTGTACGGTTAACATAGTTGTATAAGTGGTTATCAAACTGATCTTGTAGTGTTAGAAAAGCTAAATTTATCATGCATGTACAACTCATACAAAAAAGCCGTTTGGAAAAAAATGGCTGAATTATTTATATGACACTTAAACTGTTCCTATAGGTAAGAAGTAACAATCAATGACTACTGTATAATTGCGTATACGATTGATGTTTCATGAAAAAAGGTTAGGTCATTATCTTCTTTTCGAATTTGCCTCAAAGGTTTTTGTCATATGTGCAATGAAAACCCATGGTATAGGGCTAACTGCAGGGGTCAATGAAATATCATCAGGTTAGCAGTGACGTCCTGAGCTGGGCTCCGGGCCAGACCAATTGTACATTGCACGTGGCGAACCGGTCAGGAATGTTATGTATACTGGATTAATTGTCTCATTGGACATGACTCCAGCAATGCCCAATATATGGGATGTATCATATTTCATTGTGTACTGGACATTTAGGACAAAGGTCTTTCTCTCCTTCCTTAAACTTTCGCGGTATTATTTATAACTTTGATATGCATTTTAGTGTTTGCATTTTTTAACTCCCGCGTAACACCTAATTATGGTATACTATGTGGTATTTGATATTCGTTATCAAATGTAGGTCATCTTTCCTTGTATACGTCATCAAAAAGATGAGACATACTATACTTATGTAGAGTAACGATATAAATAAAGATTTAACAAGTCCTTAGTTTACTCAACCAAAATCGCTATATATACACGATTTAAGAATGTGAGTTTTAGATGAAAACGATAATATACATCTTCTGTTGATATGAATTCTCATCCGAAAGCATTCCCCGTTTATATGCCGATAAACGCCCGTTTATGACGTCACAAGGAAGGGATCGGAATTCCAGTTTCTTGAGATAATTGATATAGTTTTTCTCGTCTGTATGTTTTAAAGCCACACACGATACTTAAGGTTGATAAGATAAGAGGTAAACGGGAATGGGCTGATGATGGTACATCTCAGACCCTGGTGTTCCCACAACAAAGCGTGTGTGCTGTACATCTCAGACCCTGGTGTTCCCAGAACAAAGCGTGTGTGCTGTACATCTCAGGCCCTGGTGTTCCCACAACAAAGCGTGTGGGCTGTACATCTCAGACCCCGGTGTTCCCACAACAAAGCGTGTGTGCGGTACATCTCAGACCCTGGTGTTCCCATAACAAAGCGTGTGTGCTGCACATCTCAGACCCTGGTGTTCCCACAACAAAGCGGGTGTGCTGCACATCTCAGACCCTGGTGTTCCCACAACAAAGTGTGTGTGCTGTACATCTCAGACCCCGGTGTTCCCACAACAAAGCGTGTCTGCTGTACATCTCAGCCCCTGGTGTTCCCACAACAAAGCGTGTGGGCTGTACATCTCAGACCCCGGTGTTCCCACAACAAAGCGTGTATGCTGTACATCTCAGACCCTGGTGTTCCCACACCAAAGCGTGTGTGCTGTACATCTCAGCCCCTGGTGTTCCCACAACAAAGCGTGAGTGCTGTACATCTCAGACCCTGGCGTTCCCACAACAAAGCGTGAGTGCTGTACATCTCAGACCCTGGCGTTCCCACAACAAAGCGTGTGTGCTGGACATCTCAGACCCTGGTGTTCCCATAACAAAGCGTGTCTGCTGTACATCTCAGACCCTGGCGTTCCCACAACAAAGCGTGTGTGCGGTACATCTCAGACCCTGGTGTTCCCACAACAAAGCGTGTCTGCTGTACTTCTCAACGCAGTATACCTGTTCCGGAACAATCTAGATACAGAGGTTTACAATTGTGCCGTATACATAACTCTCCACACTTCGTGGTTATGACATGTATGCCTATAGCTTCTTACTATATTCCCTTGAATGATAGGTAGCCGAACCCAGTGGTTTATGAGGTTTATATCCTCTTTATTTTTGTCATACGCGAAAAGTAAAACAAGAGAACCCCAGATACAGACAAGACCTTCAGCCAAAACAAAAAAAGGTTAATGTTTCGCTTTGCTCTGGTATATTTTTGTTATGTCTTGTTCGAAATATATGATTTGTTTTTAACTTTTTACCCTGTGTGCTAGTTTCTGTCCCTTTGTTCTGTTATTCGTCTGTCGTGTATTGTCATTAGTTTTTATGTTATTCGTTTTTATGTTCTTTATGTCTTTATTATTTTGTTGATATCTGTCCTTTGTTTTGGTGATGTATCTATATGAGAATTCTGCATCACTATTTTATATCCCATTGTTTAAATGTTCTACATAACATTAAAGTATTGTTGACACTTTGATATTGATATAAAATGGTTCATTGTCTACCATGTATTGTTGTCTCTGTCCTCTGTTTATATATAATATTGTTCATTGTCATTAATGGCGTGTTGTTTTCTGTCTTCTCTTTTGATATAATATGGTTCATTGTCATTAATGGCGTGTTTTTTTTTGTCTATCACCTATCATCAATTGTTGTTTATATATAATATTGTTCATTGTCATTAATGTCATGTTGTTTTCTGTCTATCATCTATCATCAATTGTTGTTTATATATTATATGGTTCATTTAGGGGATAGACTACGCTAATATGTTTAGAAACATTGTATTTCCTTGTACAAAAGTACGTAGTAAAATACTTTGTGACCTGAACTGGCGACGTGTCATTCTGCAGTGGACTGACCGATCGGAAAGAAGCTTTCAAAAGTCGGTCATTTGGCCCCGCCCATACTGGCGAGAGCTCGATCTGTTTGTTGACGAGGCGGAATATTTTGATTGTTCGTGAACGCCCTGTTACCAAAGTTATTCAACACATTTGGATTAATATTGACCAAGTTCTTACATTTCCATATCAGTATGCATACCAATCTGTGCTTATCGACAAAATCGGTGATTATTTGTATAGATTTGTGAAGATTTTTGTGTATATGCATACGACACATGTGAAATGTTTCATTTGAGTTCGGATCTAAGTAGATGTCTTCAGACGGATGGAACGAACGTTTTAGTAATAAATGAAGGTAAGAACAAGGAATGTGTACTTTTTACTTTTTAATTCATTCAACAAATTATACATTTCATCGGTCGTTTCTGTTCTGTCGCCTGCTAGCCTTATCAGCGGGATTTCGCTAAGAGGCGAACTTGAAGCCATATTGTTTTGGTTAGAAACGGGGCGTGGCTTAAGTGAGATGGGAGGAGCTTAACAGGATTGATCATGATTCTATCGCAGATTAGAGCATGGTCCGTATCCAATCAAAACACGCGTTGCAAAAGAATCGTGTTAGAATTAGGGGATAATACGTTGTTTTGAGTGGCTATACTGTCGATTAGAACATGAAATTTGGGTTTGAACTCGAGACCGATAGGTCGAGAGTTTAAACCAAATTTCATGTTCTAATCGCCAGTATAGCCACGAAAAACAACGTACTATCCCCATTCTAACACACCTTATCAAATATACTTCGCTAATATGTTTAGAAACATTGTATTTCCTTGTACAAAAGTACTTTGTGACCTGAACTGGCGACGTGTCATTCTGCAGCGGACTGACCAATCGGAAAGAAGCTTTCAAAAGTCGGTCATTTAGCCCCGCCCATACTGGCGAGAGCTCGATCTGTATGTTGACGAGGCGGAATATTTGGATTGTTCGTGAACGTCCTGTTACCAAAGTTTATACGATACATTCGGATTAATATTGACCAAGTTCTTATATATTTCCATATCAGTATGCATACCAATCTGTGCTTATCGACAAAATCGGTGATTATTTGTATAGATTTGTGAAGAGTTTTGTGTAAATGCATACGACACATGTGAAATGTTTCATTTGAGTTCGGATCTAAATAGATGCCTTCACACGGATGGAACGAACGTTTCAGTAATAAATGGAGGTAAGAACAAGGAATGTGTTCTTTTATTACTTTTTGATTCATTCAACAAATGCATTTCATCGGTCGTTTCTGTTCTGTTGCCTACTAGCCTTATCAGCGGGATTTCGCTATGAGGCGAGCTTGACGCCATATTGTTTTTGTTAGAAACGGGGCGTGGCTTAAGTGCGATGGGAGGAGCTTAACACGATTGATCATGATTCTATCGCAGATTAGAACATGGTCCGTATCCAATCAAAACACGCGTTGCAAACGAATCGTATTAGAATGTCATTCATATCATGTTGTTTTTTGTCTATCATCTATCATCGATTGTTGTTTATATATAATATGGTACATTGTCATTAATGGCGTGTTGTTTTTTGTCTATCATCTATCATAAATTGTTGTTTTTATATTATATGGTACATTGTCATTAATGGCGTGTTGTTTTTTGTCTATCAGCTTTCATCAATTGTTGTTTATATATAATATGGTTCATTGTCATTAATGGCGTGTTTTTTTGTCTATCACCTATCATCGGTTGTTGTTTATATATTATATGGTTCATTGTCATCAATGGCGTGTTTTTTGTCTATCACCTATCATCGATTGTGGACATTGTCATTAATGGCGTGTTGTTTTTTGTCTATCAGCTTTCATCAATTGTTGTTTATATATAATATGGTTCATTGTTATTAATGGAGTGGTTTTTTTTGTCTATCACCTATCATCGATTGTTGTTTATATATTATATGGTTCATTGTTATTAATGGCGTGTTTTTTTGTCTATCACCTATCATCGGTTGTTGTTTATATATTATATGGTTCATTGTCATCAATGGCGTGTTTTTTGTCTATCACCTATCATCGATTGTTGTTTATATATAATATGGTTCATTGTCATTAATGGCGTGTTTTTTGTCTGTCATCTATCATCAATTGTTGTTTATATATAATATGGTTCATTGTCATTAATGGCGTGTTTTTTGTCTGTCATCTATCATCAATTGTTGTTTATATATAATATGGTTCATTGTTATTAATGGAGTGGTTTTTTTTGTCTATCACCTATCATCGATTGTTGTTTTTATATTATATGGTTCATTGTCATTAATGGCGTGTTTTTTTGTCTATCACCTATCATCGATTGTGGTTTATATATTATATGGTTCATTGTCATTAATGGCGTGTTTTTTGGCTATCATCTATCATCGATTGTTGTTTATATATTATATGGTTCATTGTCGTTAATGGCGTGTTTTTTGTCTATTATCTATCATCAAATGTTGTTTATATATTATATGGTCCATTGTCATTAATGGCGTGTTTTTTGTCTATCACCTATCATCGACTGTTGTTTATATATTATATGGTTCATTGTCATTAATGGCGTGTTTTTTGTCTATCACCTATCATCGATTGTGGACATTGTCATTAATGGCGTGTTGTTTTTTGTCTATCATCTATCATAAATTGTTGTTTTTATATTATATGGTACATTGTCATTAATGTCGTGTTGTTTTTTGTCTATCAGCTTTCATCAATTGTTGTTTATATATAATATGGTTCATTGTCATTAATGGCGTGTTTTTTGTCTGTCATCTATCATCAATTGTTGTTTATATATAATATGGTTCATTGCCATTAATGGCGTGTTGTTTTTTGTCTATCATCTATCATAAATTGTTGTTTTTATATTATATGGTACATTGTCATTAATGTCGTGTTGTTTTTTGTCTATCAGCTTTCATCAATTGTTGTTTATATATAATATGGTTCATTGCCATTAATGGCGTGTTGTTTTTTGTCTATCATCTATCATAAATTGTTGTTTTTATATTATATGGTACATTGTCATTAATGTCGTGTTGTTTTTTGTCTATCAGCTTTCATCAATTGTTGTTTATATATAATATGGTTCATTGTCATTAATGGCGTGTTTTTTGGCTATCATCTATCATCGATTGTTGTTTATATATTATATGTTTCATTGTCATTAATGGCGTGTTTTTTGTCTATCACCTATCATCGACTGTTGTTTATATATTATATGGTTCATTGTCATTAATGGCGTGTTTTTTGTCTGTCATCTATCATCAATTGTTGTTTATATATAATATGGTTCATTGTCATTAATGGCGTGTTTTTTTTGTCTATCACCTATCATCGATTGTTGTTTATATATAATATGGTTCATTGTCATTAATGGCGTGTTTTTTTTCTGTCATCTATCATCGATTGTTGTTTTTATATTATATGGTTCATTGTCATTAATGGCGTGTTTTTTGTCTGTCATCTATCATCAATTGTTGTTTATATATAATATGGTTCATTGCCATTAATGGCGTGTTGTTTTTTGTCTATCATCTATCATAAATTGTTGTTTTTATATTATATGGTACATTGTCATTAATGTCGTGTTGTTTTTTGTCTATCAGCTTTCATCAATTGTTGTTTATATATAATATGGTTCATTGTCATTAATGGCGTGTTTTTTGTCTGTCATCTATCATCAATTGTTGTTTATATATAATATGGTTCATTGTCATTAATGGCGTGTTTTTTTTGTCTATCACCTATCATCGATTGTTGTTTTTATATTATATGGTTCATTGTCATCAATGGCGTGTTTTTTGTCTATCACCTATCATCGATTGTTGTTTATATATTATATGGTTCATTGTCGTTAATGGCGTGTTTTTTGTCTATTATCTATCATCGATTGTTGTTTATATATTATATGTTTCATTGTCATTAATGGCGTGTTTTTTGTCTATCCTCTATCATCGATTGTTGTTTATATATTATATGGTTCATTGTCGTTAATGGCGTGTTTTTTGTCTATCATCTATCATCAAATGTTGTTTATATATTATATGGTCCATTGTCATTAATGGCGTGTTTTTTGTCTATCACCTATCATCGATTGTGGTTTATATATTATATGGTTCATTGTCATTAATGGCGTGTTTTTTGTCTGTCATCTATCATCAATTGTTGTTTATATATTATATGGTTCATTGTTATTAATGGCGTGTTTTTTGTGTCTATCACCTATCATCGATTGTGGTTTATATATTATATGGTTCATTGTCATTAATGGCGTGTTTTTTTTCTGTCATCTATCATCGATTGTTGTTTTTATATTATATGGTTCATTGTCATCAATGGCGTGTTTTTTGTCTATCATCTATCATCGATTATTGTTTATATATTATATGGTTCATTGTCAATAATGTCATGTTGTTTTTTGTCTTCTGTTTTGATAGAATATGGTTTATCATCTTCTATACATTGTTGTTGCTTTCTGTCTTCTGTTCTGATATATTTTTGTTTATGATCTATCTTTAATAGTTGTTTTCTGTTTTATTTTATGTTGTTCATTGTCTCTCATGTATTTTTGTTTTCTTACTTCTGTTGTTTTTAATTGTTTTTTGTTCATTGTCTATCTTGATTTATCTGTGTTTTCTGTACTAGATTAGACATTATGTGTCTCGTTGTTATTTTGTTCACAGTCTATTATGTATTTGGTTTGCTGTCACGTGTTTTATGTTATGTTGTTCATTGTTCATCATGTGTTGTCGATGTTTTCTGTCACATTGATCTTACATTTTATTGTATCCGGTAGAATACTAAAGTATTCACCTGCGCCTATTTTTTTTGTTCACCTGCGCCTTTTTGTTCCTTGATTTGATTCGTTGATTCAAATGCATAAGATTAAAAGAATTTGCCATTGGATCATCATATAGAATGGAATGTATATATTACAATATTGGCTTATTGGTACATAGGCCTGCCTATTGCTTTAACGTAAGAACTAGGCTCAGATGCTATCAGAGTCTGACAATCTGTAGGTATACAGATCTATATGTATAGATCTATATGTATAACACATTTACATTGTTTCATTAAAGAACCATTTCCTTTTTTTCGGTCTATTGATGCTAAGCATGGAAAGACTAAACCCCTCATGTTTTAGTCTATGCCTCCTCAACGCACCTCGACTATAAATGGGTTCCCGAATTTTTGAAAACAAAACACCAATATAGCAATATTTTTTAATGAATCAGAGTTGATTTCATGATACATACATATTTAAAATGTTTTTATAGACTTTTTAACAATACATGAAAAATATAAGTTGCCCACAGTGAGAGTCGAACTCACGACCCCTGGTTTACGAGACCAGTGCTCTAACCACTGAGCTATACGGGCTTTCCCTATACCATTTGTTAAACAGCTGTTTCATTCTAAATATTGAATATTGTTATGACAATGATAAACTTACTTTATTTACTGCAGTATGACCAGCTGAGGCCCAGTGTTATAAGAAACACACTGATACGTACACGTGTCATCTTTTATTGATCTATCGGTACACTTTATGACAGTGACATCCATTTATCGACCTCCGTTAAGACATTTCTGCTATTTTGATTCATCTTAATTTAGAGTTTCAATGACTTACAAAGGTTTATTTTTCTGTTTTGAACATTGACACATAGTTTAATACGTTTTACAAAATTATTATTTAAACATGACTAGGATTGTCTTAACCAGGTTCTTGTTCTGTAAACTACTTTAGCCCATTCAGTGTTTTTTTTTTAGCGCGGACGCTTACAACAGCATTAGTGCAATACTAAATAAGCACCAACCTAAACGGTGATTGTTCATTGTTTAGTACCGTACATGTACTTAATTAAATGCACCGGAATTACCATGAACTTTCCTAATATATCCAAGATATTCTTGATAATCTTTTAAAATCTTATTCCAGAAATCTTTCAATCCACATTGAAGAATTATTAAACTGATCATAACACTAAAATTTTCGACAGTCATATTAGTAAATCTAACACGATTAAGGCTATGTTCCCTTTTTTTCAAGTCATTGTTACTAGGTTTCAAGGTTTTGAAGGAAACCTCGCAGCGGGTGCCAGATGTGGTCCGAAAACGCCGAACCTTGTCGAGCACATGGGTTCTCCTGATTTTCGAGTATACTTTGTTTAAGCTTCTAATGGATATGAAGGTTTCACATGAGGTACCGGTTTGTAGCTATAGGAAGAATAGTTTTACAGTTAATGTCATGACCAGCTTCCTAAAATAACACAGTAATTTAGATAATTAAGATATATTTTGGTATTGATGTTTTGACTTTTTTTGTGGCAGACTCTCCGTATCCAGAGGGGACGTGCCTTGGGCGGGACCAGCATCCTTAATAATATGCTCTACCTTCGAGGAAGTAAGCGTGGCTATGACGAGTGGGAGAAGGCCGGCTGTAGGGGGTGGGGCTTCCGTGACGTCATTCCATACTTCCTCAAGTCCGAAGACAATGAAGGAGATAATTTCAAACCTTCAGGTTACTATACTGTGTATTGAATCGTCAGCAAACTTTGAAACATAATTAAACGATGAAAACCATGATACAATCATAAAATAATTCCGCGGACGCTTCAATGAAACATACCACTTGAAAATAACCATCATAAGTTCCCTTTTCTAGACGTTTTGTCGCTGAATGATGTTGACTGCTATGCTTCCTCTCGTTTAATGTCCATGCGTTACCATTGTGATTGTCAGCCTACCACGCCGCCAAGGGTCCCCTGATGGTGACGCCCGTCTCTAGTCCTCACCCGCCTCTGGACGACACATTTAAACAAGCTGCTCAGCAACTTGGCTACAAAGACATGGACTGTAACGGCAAGGAATCTCTAGGTAAAGCGTACTTTAGATTAACACAAAATCCTATTAAGTTTTGTTTTAAAAATAAAATAGAATATCTACATGAAGCAATATCATTTGTCTGCTGGTAGTTGAAAACATTTTCAATATGACAATTCAAATTAAACAAAATATCCTGGTCCTATGGCAGAGCCAGTGATGTACTGACCATATGGTACTTGTCGTTATATAGGCTACTGTAGCGCAAGACTTAATTATTTGTGTATATAACAAGCTGTGGAATAATATGGACCATTAGTTGTCTGAGGATATTTTACCGTTAAGTAGGGCTATCACTTGGGTTGTATTAAAAGGTGCTGCGGAATAAGACTAAACCATCGGTTGTCGTTTTATATGTTAATGTTGAGAAGACTATATCACTGTATTACCTGTTATTATGGAATAGGACTTCACCATTATTTGTCTTTGTATGTTTCACCGTTGAGTAGGACTTTTTGTAGTTGTCTTTGTATGTTTTACCGTTGAGTAGGACTTTTTAACTGTATAACTAGTTGCTGTGGAATAAACCTTCACCATTAGTTGTCTTCGTATGTTTTACCGTTGGATAGGACTGTTTGTATTGTCTTTGTATGTTTTACCGTTGAGTAGGACTTTTTAACTGTATAACTAGTTGCTGGGGAATAAACCTTCACCATTAGTTGTCTTCGCATGTGTTACCGTTGGAGAGGACTGTTTGTATTGTCTTTGTATGTTTTACGGTTGGTTGGGACTTTTTGTAGTTGTCTTTGTATGTTTTACCGTTGAGTAGGACTTTTTTTATTGTCTTTGTATGTTTTACGGTTGGATAGGACTTTTTGTAGTTGTCTTTGTATGTTTTACCGTTGGATAGGACTTTTTGTAGTTGTCTTTGTATGTTTTACCGTTGGATAGGACTTTTTGTAGTTGTCTTTGTATGTTTTACCGTTGGATAGGACTTTTTGTAGTTGTCTTTGTATGTTTTACCGTTGGATAGGACTTTTTGTAGTTGTCTTTGTATGTTTTACCGTTGGATAGGACTTTTTGTAGTTGTCTTTGTATGTTTTACCGTTGGATAGGACTTTTTGTAGTTGTCTTTGTATGTTTTACCGTTGGATAGGACTTTTTGTAGTTGTCTTTGTATGTTTTACCGTTGGATAGGACTTTTTGTAGTTGTCTTTGTATGTTTTACCGTTGGATAGGACTTTTTGTAGTTGTCTTTGTATGTTTTACCGTTGGATAGGACTTTTTGTAGTTGTCTTTGTATGTTTTACCGTTGGATAGGACTTTTTGTAGTTGTCTTTGTATGTTTTACCGTTGGATAGGACTTTTTGTAGTTGTCTTTGTATGTTTTACCGTTGGATAGGACTTTTTGTAGTTGTCTTTGTATGTTTTACCGTTGGATAGGACTTTTTGTAGTTGTCTTTGTATGTTTTACCGTTGGATAGGACTTTTTGTAGTTGTCTTTGTATGTTTTACCGTTGGATAGGACTTTTTGTAGTTGTCTTTGTATGTTTTACCGTTGGATAGGACTTTTTGTAGTTGTCTTTGTATGTTTTACCGTTGGATAGGACTTTTTGTAGTTGTCTTTGTATGTTTTACCGTTGGATAGGACTTTTTGTAGTTGTCTTTGTATGTTTTACCGTTGGATAGGACTTTTTGTAGTTGTCTTTGTATGTTTTACCGTTGGATAGGACTTTTTGTAGTTGTCTTTGTATGTTTTACCGTTGGATAGGACTTTTTGTAGTTGTCTTTGTATGTTTTACCGTTGGATAGGACTTTTTGTAGTTGTCTTTGTATGTTTTACCGTTGGATAGGACTTTTTGTAGTTGTCTTTGTATGTTTTACCGTTGGATAGGACTTTTTGTAGTTGTCTTTGTATGTTTTACCGTTGGATAGGACTTTTTGTAGTTGTCTTTGTATGTTTTACCGTTGGATAGGACTTTTTGTAGTTGTCTTTGTATGTTTTACCGTTGGATAGGACTTTTTGTAGTTGTCTTTGTATGTTTTACCGTTGGATAGGACTTTTTGTAGTTGTCTTTGTATGTTTTACCGTTGGATAGGACTTTTTGTAGTTGTCTTTGTATGTTTTACCGTTGGATAGGACTTTTTGTAGTTGTCTTTGTATGTTTTACCGTTGGATAGGACTTTTTGTAGTTGTCTTTGTATGTTTTACCGTTGGATAGGACTTTTTGTAGTTGTCTTTGTATGTTTTACCGTTGGATAGGACTTTTTGTAGTTGTCTTTGTATGTTTTACCGTTGGATAGGACTTTTTGTAGTTGTCTTTGTATGTTTTACCGTTGGATAGGACTTTTTGTAGTTGTCTTTGTATGTTTTACCGTTGGATAGGACTTTTTGTAGTTGTCTTTGTATGTTTTACCGTTGGATAGGACTTTTTGTAGTTGTCTTTGTATGTTTTACCGTTGGATAGGACTTTTTGTAGTTGTCTTTGTATGTTTTACCGTTGGATAGGACTTTTTGTAGTTGTCTTTGTATGTTTTACCGTTGGATAGGACTTTTTGTAGTTGTCTTTGTATGTTTTACCGTTGGATAGGACTTTTTGTAGTTGTCTTTGTATGTTTTACCGTTGGATAGGACTTTTTGTAGTTGTCTTTGTATGTTTTACCGTTGGATAGGACTTTTTGTAGTTGTCTTTGTATGTTTTACCGTTGGATAGGACTTTTTGTAGTTGTCTTTGTATGTTTTACCGTTGGATAGGACTTTTTGTAGTTGTCTTTGTATGTTTTACCGTTGGATAGGACTTTTTGTAGTTGTCTTTGTATGTTTTACCGTTGGATAGGACTTTTTGTAGTTGTCTTTGTATGTTTTACCGTTGGATAGGACTTTTTGTAGTTGTCTTTGTATGTTTTACCGTTGGATAGGACTTTTTGTAGTTGTCTTTGTATGTTTTACCGTTGGATAGGACTTTTTGTAGTTGTCTTTGTATGTTTTACCGTTGGATAGGACTTTTTGTAGTTGTCTTTGTATGTTTTACCGTTGGATAGGACTTTTTGTAGTTGTCTTTGTATGTTTTACCGTTGGATAGGACTTTTTGTAGTTGTCTTTGTATGTTTTACCGTTGGATAGGACTTTTTGTAGTTGTCTTTGTATGTTTTACCGTTGGATAGGACTTTTTGTAGTTGTCTTTGTATGTTTTACCGTTGGATAGGACTTTTTGTAGTTGTCTTTGTATGTTTTACCGTTGGATAGGACTTTTTGTAGTTGTCTTTGTATGTTTTACCGTTGGATAGGACTTTTTGTAGTTGTCTTTGTATGTTTTACCGTTGGATAGGACTTTTTGTAGTTGTCTTTGTATGTTTTACCGTTGGATAGGACTTTTTGTAGTTGTCTTTGTATGTTTTACCGTTGGATAGGACTTAATTTGTTTTAATTTGTACAAGTTTCTGTTGAGTTGGACTCTATAACTCTGTATAATTTGTACAGGTCTCTTAAGAGTATGACTTGTTATATTTTGTACAGGTCTCTAAAGAGTGTGACTTGTTATAATTTGTACAGATCTCTTAAGAGTGTGACTTGTTATAATTTGTACAGGTGTCTAAAGAGTGTGACTTGTTATAATTTGTACAGGTCACTAACGAGTGTGACTTGTTATAATTTGTACAAGTCTCTATAGAGTGTGACTTGTAATAATTTGTACAGGTGTCTAAAGAGTGTGACTTGTTATAATTTGTCCAGGTCACTAAAGAGTGTGACTTGTTATAATTTGTACAAGTCTCTAAAGAGTGTGACTTTTTATAATTTGTACAGATTTCTAAAGAGTGTGACTTGTTATATTTTGTACAGATTACAGTGGAGGTTGACTTTATAACTCGTTATAATTTGTACAGGTTAATTGATAGTTTGACTTGTTATATTTTGTACAGATTACTGTAGATTTGAACTCTATAACTCGTCGTATTTTATACAGGTTACTGTGGAGCGCAGGCTACCACAAAGAAGGGAGTTCGAGTTAGCACCTCTAATGCTTTTCTCAGACCCGCAATGGCGCGACAGAACCTTCACGTGGCTCTTTTTGCCCACGTTACCAAGGTTAGTTGGGAAAAGAAAACATCCTTTTAAGTATGAACTAAACATTATTATTATTCTTTACTATTTCACTAAAGGACATATTATATGACACTTCGGCTTGTTTTTACTTATATTTTTGTGTGTATCTTGTCTTTGCCCTTTGCTTTATTAGCCTCCGCACATTTTCATTTTATCTTGGAATATATGCTTTTTGTTTGCGTAATAATGGAATTAAAAAAGAATGCATTTGCCCACAGTGAGAGTCGAACTCACGACCCCTGGTTTACGAGACCAGTGCTCTAACCACTGAGCTATACGGGCTTTTATTTTTATAAAACCTTTGACCAGGGCAAATTTGTTCAAAACGCTAACGATGTGGTTTAATTATAAACATCTGCCATTATCCACTATCAACACAATAGTCTATAGAGTGGTTTTCAGCATAACCTCAAAGCAAGCTTGTATCATACAATAGAACACGCAGCAGGGATACAACATTTGAAATTGATCAATGGCTGTTTGTGTATTATCATCATCATCTGTGTCATCTGTGTAAAATCAATGCACGTCAATTGACCAATGAAAATCCACGTTATGGCAATGGCTTAAAGAATATATATTGCGCCGTGTTATTTTACCTACTAAGAATGGTAAATGTTGTCTCCTCCTGTTTGTGCTGGGTGTTCGGGGTTAGTTTGTGTTGGCTGTAAGAGCTGTTTGTGTTGGGTGTTCGGGGTTAGTTTGTGTTGGGTGTTCGGGGTTAATTTGTGTTTGGTGTTCGGGGTTAGTTTGTGTTTGCTGTAAGACCTGTTTGTGTTGGTTATTCGGGGTTACATGTAGTTTGTGTTGGCTGTAAGACCTGTTTGTGTTAGTTGTTTATAGTTAGTTTGTATTGGCTATAAGACCTGTTTGAGTTGGCTGTAAGACCTGTTTGTGTTGGTTGTTTGTGTTGAGTTTGTGTTGGCTGTAAGACCTGTTTATGTTGGTTGTTTGGGTTGAGTTTGTGTTGTCTGTAAACCTGTTTGTGTTGGTTGTTCATTGTTAGTTTGTGTTGGTTGTTTGGGTTGAGTTTGTGTTGGCTGTAAGACCGGTTTGTGTTGGTTATTCGGGGTTACTTTGTGTTTGCTGTAAGACCTGTTTGTGTTGGTTATTCGGGGTTAGTTTGTGTTTGCTGTAAGACCTGTTTGTGTTTGCTGTAAGACCTGTTTGTGTTGGTTACTCGGGGTTACATGTAGTTTGTGTTGGCTGTAAGACCTGTTTGTGTTAGTTGTTTATAGTTAGTTTGTATTGGCTATAAGACCTGTTTGAGTTGGCTGTAAGACCTGTTTGTGTTGGTTGTTTGGGTTGAGTTGGTGTTGGCTGTAAGACCTGTTTGTGTTGGTTGTACGGGGGTAGTTTGTGTTTGCTGTAAGACCTGTTTGTGTTGGTTATTCGGGGTTAGTTTGTGTTTGCTGTAAGTCCTGTTTGTGTTTGCTGTAAGACCTGTTTGTGTTGGTTACTCGGGGTTACATGTAGTTTGTGTTGGCTGTAAGACCTGTTTGTGTTAGTTGTTTATAGTTAGTTTGTATTGGCTATAAGACCTGTTTGTGTTGGTTGTTTGGGTTGAGTTGGTGTTGGCTGTAAGACCTGTTTGTGTTGGTTGTTTGGGGTGAGTTTGTGTTGGCTGTAAGACCTGTTTGTGTTGGTTATTCGGGGTTCCTTTGTGTTTGCTGTAAGACCTGTTTGTGTTGGTTATTCGGGGTTACATGTAGATTGTGTTGGCTGTAAGACCTGTTTGTGTTAGTTGTTTATAGTTAGTTTGTATTGGCTATAAGACCTGTTTGAGTTGGCTGTAAGACCTGTTTGTGTTGGTTGTTTGGGGTGAGTTTGTGTTGGCTGTAAGACCTGTTTGTGTTGGTTATACGGGGTTAGTTTGTGTTGGCTGTAAGACCTGTTTGTGTTGGTTGTTCGGGGTTAGTTTGTGTTGGCTGTAAGACCTGTTTGTGTTGGTTATTCGGGGTTCCTTTGTGTTTGCTGTAAGACCTGTTTGTGTTGGTTATTCGGGGTTACATGTAGATTGTGTTGGCTGTAAGACCTGTTTGTGTTAGTTGTTTATAGTTAGTTTGTATTGGCTATAAGACCTGTTTGTGTTGGTTGTTTGGGTTGAGTTGGTGTTGGCTGTAAGACCTGTTTGTGTTGGTTGTTCGGGGTTAGTTTGTGTTGGCTGTAAGACCTGTTTGTGTTGGTTGTTTGGGGTGAGTTTGTGTTGGCTGTAAGACCTGTTTGTGTTGGTTGTTCATAGTTAGTTTGCATTGGCTATAAGACCTGTTTGAGTTGGCTGTAAGACCTGTTTGTGTTGGTTGTTTGGGGTGAGTTTGTGTTGGCTGTAAGACCTGTTTGTGTTGGTTGTTCGGGGTTAGTTTGTGTTGGCTGTAAGACCTGTTTCTGTTGGTTATTCGGGGTTAGTTTGTGTTTGCTGTAAGCCCTGTTTGTGTTGGTTATTCGGGGTTAGTTTGTGTTTGCTGTAAGCCCTGTTTGTGTTGGTTATTCGGGGTTACATGTAGATTGTGTTGGCTGTAAGACCTGTTTGTGTTAGTTGTTTATAGTTAGTTTGTATTGGCTATAAGCCCTGTTTGAGTTGGCTGTAAGACCTGTTTGTGTTGGTTGTTTGGGTTGAGTTGGTGTTGGCTGTAAGACCTGTTTGTGTTGGTTGTTTGGGTTGAGTTGGTGTTGGCTGTAAGACCTGTTTGTGTTGGTTGTTCGGGGTTAGTTTGTGTTGGCTGTAAGACCTGTTTGTGTTGGTTGTTTGTGTTGAGTTTGTGTTGGCTGTAAGACCTGTTTATGTTGGTTGTTTGGGTTGAGTTTGTGTTGTCTGTAAACCTGTTTGTGTTGGTTGTTCATTGTTATTTTGTGTTGGTTGTTTGTGTTGAGTTTGTGTTGGATGTAAGACCTGTTTGTGTTGGTTGTTCATGGTTAGTTTGTGTTGTCTGTAAAACCTGTTTGTGTTTGTTGTTCATTGTTAGTTTGTGTTGGTTTTTCATGGTAAGTTTGTTTTTGCTGTAAGACCTGTATTTGTTGGTTGTACGGGGTTAGTTTGTGTTGTCTGTAAGACCTGTTTGTGTTGGTTGTTCGGGTTAGGTTTTGTTAGTTTTAAGACCTGTTTGTGTTGATTGTTTAGAGATAATTTGTGATACTTTTAAGACCTGTTTGTGTTGATTGTTAAGGGTTAGTTTTTATTAGTGCAAAATATGTTTGTAATTATATTGATATTCCTTATTCCTTGACGTCGTTATCGTTAGTATATTTCCTTGAGGGTGACGAGACCATAAACACTGATCACACCCAATGCTGGCTGATAAGGATTCATGTGCCTACGGTATCGCGCAGTTCTCTATATCAATAGTGAATATCTAGAAATGGAATTATTTCCTTGATTTCAAGACCAACATAACATATAATTATGGAAAACTGTTTCTACCATGTCTTGACAAGACTAGTATGTAAAGCTGTATGATGTGATACGCTGTTGAGTATTCAATATCCATTTCTGATGGATACTGTTCCGTGGGGTTAAACAGATAAATCAGCGATAAGGTTATTCAATACACAAATATTTATCATGATATCGTACAAAGATATTTTTACACAGATATATCTCAATATATAACACGGTCAAAATGAAACAGATAACTAAATACAAGCACATACATAATAATATCACACAAAGATATCGACGTGATCATTGTATATAAAGATATAACTATTGATAAATATCTCACAACTAAGATAAAAAGACCACAGGCGAAGGGGAGACAACTGTTCTTAGAAACGGTACTATGCGTAGTAATATGAAGTGGTCATTGTGTGTGAAATCAGCTGACTGGTTGCAAGAGAATCGTTGTATTGATTGTGTATTCATAGTATAATGGCAGTTTTTTCCGTTGGTAGATTCATATACAGAACAAACATCAAGAATGTAAATATAAAGATATGACTATGGCTAAAAATCTCGCATCTAAGATAAAAGGTCCTGAGGCGATATTTCGCGATAGAAACAGTCGATATTTAAGACTTCATGCTTTCATTAGACACTTTTATTCTGTAAAAAATGTTTGAAAAATAAAAATAAACACAGAAAAAACTCTACCGTTAGGATCAGAAAGGCCTTGGTGAGTTGATCCGCCGTATAAACTTTTCCAATCAATTAGAAAAAAAATGTAACTGAATCCACTGGATTCTAAAGTTGGTTTTCAATCATTGGTATCATTTGTATGGTATAGGTGCTGATATCCAATGGGAAAGCGGTAGGCGTGGAGTTTCTGAGGAACGGCCGGAGAGAAATTGCTGGAGCTACCCAGGAAGTGATCCTGTCCGCCGGACCAGTGGCTACGCCCCAGATTCTCATTCTTTCGGGCGTGGGGCCAAAAGATCTTCTGTCCGATCTCAAGGTATATATCAGTGCTAATTTAAAAATCTTGAAGAGTTTTAATGGATAAGAAACATTTGGCATACTTTGAAACGTTCTCTATATCCTAATGGTCCAATTGTAAGATAATTAACTAATAGCAGCAAAATGGATAAGAGAATAAATTCCAAGGAGATGAAGTCTTCTTTGAATTAATTCTTTCTTGTAGGTGGCGCCCCAGTCGATAATTCCGGTGGGAGAGAATTTGTTCGATGGCTTGATGGTTCCCATGCGGGTGTTCATCAACGAGAGCTTCACCATCACGCCCGCTCGATCCACAAGCGTCATCAGCCGGATGAAGTACAAGGTGTCCGGTGCCGGTAAGTATATACAGCACGCTCATATAGATATTGTGGAATGGCAGTTAATATGCTCTTTCATAGTTTTAGTATTTATTTCTAACATCGATTTAGATAGTGTGCTAGTTATACCTTTATGTTAACAAATGCATTTGGTATTTCATTGTTAGATCGAAATATTGTATCAGTACTGAATAAAAAGCGTCATTCATAAAGTTTCTTATTCGATATCAACGTTATCAATGCGATGTCTGTTATATTTTTTTTAAATTTATTGGACACATAAACAAACTTGAGAGAATACCAAATCGCACACTCAACACCCGTAAATCACAATTTAAATTCTAACATTTTATAGGTTATTTACCTATGCCCGCCGGCATGTTTGGACATATTTTTGCATCATCGGAAGAGGGAAGTGAAACACCGGATTTACTTATCTCTGGAATGGCAACACTTCCGGAAGCTTGGGAGGGTTTCGACTGGAACCTTAAACCAAATGTACGTATTTTAGGGATAAACATTTTTCTTGGCACAACTCCACATAAAAGTACTCATTTGTCTTTTTGTTGTTTCACCATTTTCATGTTGGGCAACCAACTCACAAGTGGAAAAATGCTTTCCAGCTGCCAGAAAACTGGCAAGTTACATTTAGTAACTGCTATTGGCCTATATGTTTTGATGACTACTTCTCATGGGACTTGGTTTGTTAAATCAAATTGTTATATTGACTATTTTATCGTCAATTATGCAACGGCTGCTGGTTAGGGTTCATATGTGATTCATATGATTTTTGACAAAATACAACAATTTATGGTATGGTTCAGTCACGTTGCTAACTTTAAATGTCTGGCGTTCAATGTGAGAAACGTGACTGGACAGTTATATGGGTTTTTCCATACCAGATCCTGAAGGAGATGACGGAGAACAGTGATAACAATGAGGAGGGGATGATTCTCATGGTCCAGCTGCTGACTCCGACTAGTGTCGGGAGGGTCACACTAAAGAGTACCAATCCCTTCGAGCATCCCACTATAGATCCTCATTATCTCGAGGATCCGGCCGATATTAAGGCGCTCATCAAAGGTCAGTCGAAGTGGTCAATTTTTTTGTATAAAACAGCATAAAACATTTTGAACAGAAACGTATATAATCGGTTATTAGGCCTTCGTTATTTATTGTGAATGACATGAAAGTATTTACGATGTACAGACTTTATATACATCCTATTGTAATGTATCCTATTTGAGTTTAAATATATCTATTAATTATGACTTTTATGATGTCGTGTTTTTATGTTAAATTTAACAGGAATGAAGCTTGCCTTCAAATTAACAAGAACTAAAGCCTTTAAAAGGTTAGAACCAAAGCTCCCCAGGAGATTTATTCCGAAGTGCTCTAAGCATAAGGTCAACAGTGACCCGTACTACGAGTGTCTGATCCGCTACTTGGCGGTGTCCTCGGAGACTGTGGGGGGCACGTGTAAGATGGGAGATATCGCTGACAACGCCACGGTGGTGGATTTACATCTGCGGTAGGTAACTCTTGACCAAGTTGAAAGAGGATCAACAATTTCTGAGCATAAAAGCGAGAAAACAGATCATTTTATATGATTTCTTTTCTGATAGATGTAAAAAGTATGTATAATAGAATATTGTTTTCTTCATATTTTCACTTATGTATTCAATTTAAGTAAAACATTTCCCAGGTGACAAATGGGTGATGTATATAACTGTATCATCAGTAAACAAACCAGTCTGATTAACACAGCCATTGTCCTTATTTATATTGTTATTTGATAAAAATGAAAATACCTAACTTTTAATATCTATATTGGACGTTATGTTTATTTTTTCAACAAAAATGTCAATGTGTAAGCAATAAAGATAACTTATCTGTTTTTCGTCATATCGTATTCATCTTACTTGTTACCTTAATTTATTTGTTTCGTTATACAGCAATGTAATTTCATCTATTACTAGTTTATTTAACATTCCTTTTATATTTCTTCAAACGCAGTTAATTATAGTTAATTCAAAATACGAAACGTAAAAAATGAAGGAAGTACATGTGTTTATATAGCATCAACGTTTTCTTGTTTACTTTTTTTATTCCAGGGTGAAAGGTATTCATCAACTGCGAGTCGTTGATGCCTCAGTTCTACCATCACCTCTTTCCGGTGCATCGTACGCACCCGTTGTCATGGTAGCAGAAAAAGCAGCTGACATTATCAAAAAGAGTTATCAGAGGCGACATAAACGCCGACATAGCTGATAAAAAACAGTTATAGTATCGCCATATCACTGTGTAACATTAACGAAGTCATTTCAATGTAGGGAGTGCATGGTTCGATCTTTCCTCTTCTTTTCATAAAAAGGCATGACGATATATGATGTTACAACATGTTTGTTAATTATGATATTATAGTAGTGTCTTATCGCCCCTGTTTGCTGTACATGTTTTATCTCCATTATTCGACGATACTAGTGTAGTGTAGTGTATATGTAGTCGTCCCTTTTGATGATGATATTGTAGTACATGTGTTATCTCCCTTTGTTCTCCCTTCTTTGATACTGATATTGTAGTATCTCTCCTCTGTGAATGATAATGATTTAAAACAGGTTAAGAATTATGATTTGACAAATAATGGTTTTATGCATGTTATCTCCCTTGTTTATCGTCAATTGTATTGTATTACGTCTCCGCTTTATACGATAATGCTTTTGTAGACATCTGAAATCAATACATGTCTTATCTCCCTTGTTTAGCGAAAATTATGTGGTAGGCATGTTTCATCTAATATGTTTTACGACAAAAGTGTAGTTCTTGTGGTATCTCACATGTTTGGCGATAATGATGTGACAATCGGGAACCGTTGGCACTTTCTCATAAGAACAAAACACCGCAAAGTGCTGACGATTCCCAATTCCCGATTGAATGTGGTAAACATGAGTTATCTCCCTTATTTTACGCCTATTGTTAGTACATGTGTATATATTGTAATACTTGATATTCATTTGTGGTCGAGACGAAGGCTATTAATATATATGGGGATATATATCCAGTGTTGTATATCTAGTGGCTCTATTTATAGAAAAGACATCAGCCATGACATTTCCCGAGGTTGAATGTGTGCAGTATCATGGGAAAATCTACGATGTACGATGTACAGCTAAACCTTCTTTCATCTTAACTGCTCATGTTTCATATCAAAATATTCCAGTATTTTTTTCTACCTGTATATTACAAAATACAACAACATTTCGCTAATATGTCATCCTTTTGTATGACATGTACACGTACAATGTGATTTCAGAGGATGATGGAGGCTGTATTCGTATGGGCGTTATGCATCAAACTAATGCTAAGTAGTCGCTTCTAAACTACTGCATGTCATTAAATTTCATACGAAAATGCGTTCTTTGTACAAATAATACGCCCATCTCGGCGTTGTTAAAGTCGTGCTTGGAAAAAAAACGTATCATGAATCAGCTTCTATGATTGTCTCTAAGCTAGGCTGTTAGAATTTCGATACAAGCATGCCATTTCGTTATGATTTTATGCAAATATAAATTTGTAACTGTTAAGTTCATCCATATGCTTAACTATAATAAGCGATCGTTCTATAGCTATCTACATTATTGACAACTGATCGTTTATGTGTAACAATCGGTTTGGTTGTTTTTAAATATAATATTTTCGGGTATAAACCCTTACGGACCTGCAAATGTTTATGCAGGCCTTACAGGGCGTTGTTAAGGCTCGCCTAAAAGTAGCATCAGCTTACTAGGTCCTATCTTATTTCATAAACGAACAACTATGGTCAAACCGGTTTAACCGGTTCAACCGCGATAAACGAAAGCGGCCCAGAATCCGCCATTATAAATTTTTTGATATTTGGTTTTGACATTAGAATTATTGAGGAATTCCTGTTTACACTTCTGGCCTGTTTACTTGTATATTTGCGTGTGAATGATATTAAATGTTTTAGTCAGTTTAGTGAGGAATGCCAGTAAACTGAATCGGTTAATTAAATGTGTGTTAGACCTAATTGACTAGAACCATTTACAGAATATGTAAACTAGGTAGTCCCAAGTGTTAGTCTCGACTTATGCGGATAGTTTGAATTACTATTGTGTCATGTTAATTTTAGGAAAATAAATTATTTAAAAAAAATGCCGTGTTTTTTGTGTATCTCTGTAGACTAAGATATACACGGAGAGCTGACATCGCTATAGTTAGTATCATATTCAAGGGCTAACATTTCTCACACACTTCACAGAAGCCTTCCCTATTTTCATACGGAAAATATAAACCTGGGGTTTACCTATCAGGGAAGGACAGCAAAAACGTGATACTGCTCTCAAATCGTCATTATTCTTCAATAACCCTTTATAGAATAAGGGCGTAAAAGAGTGTCAGTCGAGTTGCATGTACACTTTATAGTACTAGTAGAAGAACAAGTGTTGCTAGCTGTATAAATAGACAACTTCATCGATATGTTAATAACAGTAGCCATGTCTGATACCTAAGTACAATTGATTCCATCCGTAATGTAGAAATAATAATTAAGGAAGACAATATCATGGCGTGTGTCCTGTCCCGGCTCGACATCGCGGTCGAGATTTCAAATCCCAACAGGGAACGAGTCATGATCGTAGTATTGCTGTCTATAGTACTTTTTAGATATAGTCATGCTTAAGGGAGTGAGATGTGTACCATTCAGTTAAGTTGCAAAGGACACACGTGTGACTGAGTTAACACAGTTTATTGTGAGTGGCGTGTCAGATGACATCTGATGACGTCGCAGAATGTTATATCATGGATTATGACGTTGCAATCAAAAGACTTTTAATTTCTGTTATAAACATCATATTGGATAATTGGGGCATCCTTTCCTGGTGAAGAGCTTTTCCAATGCGCATGCGTTGATGCCCTACCATAGCAACAAAATCGCGTTGCTGTGCAGAAATAGTCAAAATATAGTGTTTTTGGACAGTAAGTATGCAGAAATAAAAGACTCCGCATGTGACAAAAAAAAATCCTTTTTACGAATTAACACTGGTATAACAATGCTTAAGCATGTCAACTATTTGTTTGTTGCATGCGGAGGCTTTAAATAATTGAAGAATGTGAAATAAAATTCCTTCAAAATTGCCAATTTTCAACCAAATAGCGCACAACAGATGATATTCACTCATTTTGTAACGAAAATGCGGGTTTTATGTCTCTCTTGAATTTTTATATTTGCGTACTTCATTTATTCCAGATTACGAATATAGAAACTAATTCTAAATCCCTGATGAGGCAAGAAACTACCCTTAACGCCTCTAGTCCTTTCTATGATTTATTCTTTGCGAATTGAGTATAAAAAAGACATTTTTTTCACAACAGAGGAAAATGACTTTATTTTCATAATAAAACCTTATATAGCAGAGGTAAACATGGATTAAATATTAGTAAATATAAAATTGTAACAGCTGTCTGCTTACCACGTCACATAATTGATCACACATACAGTGACCCAACCTTACCACGTCACATAATTGATCACACATCCATTTACCCAACCTTACCACGTCACATGATTGATCACACATACAGTGACCTAACCTTACCACGTCACATGATTGATCACACATACAGTGACCAAACCTTACCACGTTACATAATGGAGAACACATACAGCGACCCAACCTTACCACGTTACATAATTGATCACACATAATGTGACCCAACCTTACCACTACCAGCAGTATCAATATGAGACAATACGTAAGATATATACAACAACATCTGTTTGTACAAAAATACACAAAACGTCAAAAAGGGCAGTAAGATACATGTGACAAGATTTCAACCGAGTCCTGGTAAACCAAATGCTATTCTGTCAAACTCGTCGTGTTTCCTATTCATTACTTAAATGATGTTTAAAATTCTTACAAATTTACAGTCTATCACCATATCATATCCATGTGGTGCACCATTGGTTACCCGCGACGTAAATACGTATTTACCTATTTCCAGGTAGCCCTTCACCTCCCGTTGCATGATTCATGAACTTTTATTCAGACACAATATCAGACAGTCCTCGTACTTTTTTAATGTAGACAAAACATATCTAGATCTTTTGCATAGTCTACTGATCATTTTAACTGTTTTGTGTACTTCAAATATTGTTCGAAAACATTGGTAAATTCTGCGAAGTTCAGTGAGAGATTTTTTCACATGATGACGTCATGCTCTATGCTGATTGGGTGATGGTAAATAGGCGTACATATAATAGCTGTCTGAAGTAAGCAGCTTATATACCTACCTTTACTACACAATATTTACATTTGCATGGCACTGCCACTATATAGCCTCTTTGAAAGCTGTATCGTTGATGGGACCTTAATTACCATGCATCACGAGACACAATTCTTAGCGTATTAATACAATACTGACCGGAACTACAATATCCAATATAAATAAACATAACGGCTGCTGAAATATCGCTGGGCATTGTGAGATTTGACAATGCCATTGTAAATTTATGTGCAAAATAAAAAATAAAATAAAAAAACACTTCTATTACAACGAAAATAAGACCAAGGTCTGCAATATCGTACAAAATGCACATCGGTTGAAATCACCAATGCCGGCAATGAAAACAATTTTAACGCTCATGCAATTTATCAGAAATATCGTCTGTTACACTGCACTGATCAACAGGGGTTCGTTACAAATGTCTGAAATACACATATTCTATAGACCTACTGACAATTATGTTACAGACCTACTGATATGAGTCACAGCACACATAAACATTTCAGACATTTGATCACTCACTTTAAACGCTATCAGTTTCACGCGTCTCGCATCCACGGTTTCTCAGTTTCTGACGACATGTCAAATGACGAGGATGTTATAGAATCTACCGACTGTTGTCAGGTTCCCATACAACCAACAAATAAATTCAAGCATGGATTCTTCACAAAATGAGCAAAGAAAAAATCGAAACAATTTCAAATCTAACTTTCAGCTCAGAGTTCTATTAATAAACTTAAATCACCCTATAGACATATCAACCGCAATTGTATTGATACTGAATTGTGGAATAAAATTTGAGTGTTTGTTTAAATTTCAAAGTACTACTTTGTTTTCCAATCAGCACGCGACAATACGCTGTTCAAACTATTGAACGAAATTGTGTGGACTGTCGATAAGGCGTGCATTTTTAATTTTAAATATAAATGATAAGTTAAAAAAAAGAACATAAGAGGCAGAGAAAACGTAAATATAAGTATTGAACTGTTTTTGTAAGGTATTTATGATCTATTTGAATGACGCAGCTTTGCAAGCAAACAACATTATACTTAATTATACAATCCACGGTCTAGAAGTGAAACTATTAAACTACGGTTTATGTTCGGGCGTGATACAACCAAAAAAAAGATGATTACTGCCGAAGGGGAGCAACTCTATCTTGAAGCATACCGGTCGGCAATTGCCTATTTGTTGCCTATTAATTGTATTTAAGAGGTTTCAATAAGGATTAACTTGATTTTTTTTTATGTTATGGAGATATAACACAAAAGAACAGAGTGTACTCTAAATAAACCGCGAAGCGGTTTATGATGAGAGTACACTCTGTTCTTTTGTGTTATAGCAACATATATTCAAGTCAATCCTTATAATTTAACCTACTATACACAATCCTTGTGGAAATCCACTTTTATTGATGGACTTTTTTCTCTTAGAAATTATTACGCCGTTGTATCAGCCAATCAAAAGCGACGTTACAAATGGCGACGTCATTTTTTTGATAACATAAATTGTTAAGCCAGATTAAATTATTAAACAATAAATGATATCGTATTTGTTTTTAGGGTGTTTTGAAAAAATACAACAAAAGAGAGAAAAAACACAGTAAAATTTAAAATATCAACCACAATGTTAACTTTAAGCAATTATTGAGTACATGTAGCACATATCAATTCTATGGCAGGTTAACGTTATAGAAATGTTTATTTAGATTAGCATGTCCGTAGAATACCAGCGACAACATTTATTTACATCGTTTGTGGAGATAACAGGAGGAAACTTATCACATGAAACATCCGTCACCACAAATCATTTTATGTTGGCTCTGTTCTTATATTCCTGTTTACGCATTCTCCTATAGAGTAGGGAACTAATAATGACCTATGTTATACGGCAATTTCGAACCGGGATCTATTATCACTTTCCAGGCTTTAAATAATGCGATGAAAAATTAATAAGTTGGTCGTTCAAATGGTTTAGAGGGTCGGTATAATTGATATAGCGACACTGTTCTTAGAGAGTCAGTATTTACAATCATATTAATGGCGAAGTACGTTAATGGGCTACAGTTACAATCACTTATATTACTGTTATATTAATGATTCTCCAAACTAGTACATTATCATCCACTAGAGATAGCGGTTACCATAGGGACTATCAATAAACAAATCAATTCTCTGACGATGACGAACTGTCAACCTGTATATAACCTTTGGGCTTTATAGTGCTAGGACTTGATCCAAACTAGCATTATATCTAAATAGGAGATATCATGTTATCCTATCTGTCGAATATAAAAGTAGGCGTTGGAATAGTATAGGTAATTGTAGTTAATCGACTGTAACACTCAAAGATCAATAAATGGTAGTAAGATGTTCAAAAGTGTAGGGAAATTCAACTTCTTTTACTGTACCAACTCCCTTCTATGTAGGGATACCATCAAATGGATGTGATTTGGTCAGCGATCGCTGGTACGTTATTACTGCTGTTACCTTTTGTACTGTCACAACAGCTGAGTGGTGTAGACGCCCATTTTAAGTACAACAGTGGAGGAGCAAAAGTCCAGCTCCTCCCTCCCCTGTTTGTTCCCTGCTTTACAAACAACAAGCAAGAAGATGTACTCGTCCAAGCCTCATACACAATGTATCACTCAAATAATTCATTTAGTCTTAGCGGTGCCTACAATCAATGGGTTAGCTATTGGCGCTCAAGCTGAACAAGCTAACCCATCAATCAGAGTGAAGTCTGATGGTATCGATTAGTTTAATTTTATCAATGAATTAGGTTTTACTCTTTTCTGGTACCAGCTGAAGTTATCATAAATATTATAACCATTGTAGTGATCATATTATAAACATTGAAATTATCAT